TTCCTGTTATCCTGCTTGGTGTGCTCCTTGTCTGTTTTTAGATTCTGCTGACTGCTCCATATGTTTCCCAGTTCATCTCTTGGATTCTAATTGCTTTCTTTGTGGATTCTTTGCACCTTATAGACTTTGGTTTTGTACCTAAATACAAAATGAGTCTTCTGTTTACCCATTCTGCAACAGTGCTCAATGATGACAGTGGCCTCCCTCAATAAAATATCCTCACATGTTCCCTCACATCAAAAAACTGCTCTAGAACACAACAAAGAGCCCGAGGCACTGACCCTGTCTGCAAACTGTTAATCTGAATATGAGGAAACACTTGATGGATTCCCTGGAACAAACCCAATCTGTGAAGTGTGATGCCCTGCAATCCACTGAACCCAAAAACCACAATCTATGATTTTAGCAACACAAGAGGCCAAAAATAGCAGACAGGTGCTTTTAATGCTGTGGATGATTAGTGTAGATTCCTTTAGGATGGTTAGTATAATAAACTGCCAATAATTACTTAATTATCAATCAATTATCAGTCAAATTCTCCTGTATTTCAATGATAGAATTGCCATATTGATAAGTTTATTAACAGCTGAGTTTTACTGACTAAAGCGCACATGTTTACGGTTCAGTGCTGGTTCTCTGATGCTTTCAGTGTTCTGTGTTTAACTCTTCCTAATTGATAAAGACCAGCTGTTTTTGCTAAGCTAAACCCTGTAATTGCCTGGTGACGCTGTATTCTGAGTATGTCAGAGTGTTATCAGTGTTAAATTTAATTAGAACTATGCCAAGTTCTTATCTGCTATCCTCCTTTGTGGATTGTAAATATCCCACAGAGAGACGCCGGGGCGGGTGCCGGTTTTCATCCATCAAAGCCACTCAAAGAGAAGAAACATGTTTATATTTAAGAACTCAAATATGCCAGAAATGAGACTGAATCTTTGACCACTGAAGACCAAATACACAAAGAATTCAGCTCATATCGCGCACTTCAGAGCAGTTAAGGTTATTTGGTGACCTTGTTCCCTTTAAGTGTGTCTGGAAGAACTGTCCATATCCTTTATAGACACAGCAAGCTCTCTCAGCTATGAACACTCTGTGTTGCGCACAGATACTTTCAGTGGCTCAGACAACAAAAGGAATGATCAAAATGAAGGGGCCTGTCTTCCATGTAGGGCAGTGAGTGTGCACCAGCAAAAGCTAAACAATCAGAGTGCAAAAGGAAGAAATATTTTCCTTGTGAAATACCCAATTAAGAAGCTGCCTCAGATAAAAGGAGAGAGGCTGCTCTAAGTGCCATTAGTGTTCCTCTACAGCAAAGTTGACTTTACAAGGAGAACATGTGTCTTCACACACACTCGAGGAGTCCAAGTGCCTCCCTTATCTCACCTTGACAATATAGGGGTCTAATAAGGGCACAGGCAGATTCAGCGGTTTTAAAATGGGCGCTCACTGTGATCTAATTCTCTCCAAATCCGAGCAATGGTGACATCCCAGCAGGATGAGCATTATAGGCAGTACCGTGAAAAAGTCTTGAGCCACTCTTCGTTTCTTTATAAATTCCTTACAAGGAGTCGAACTCTTGTTGAACAAAACTTCTCCAGGCTTTGTGAAGGTCTTTTAGGTTTTTTTTTTATTCTGACAGTGTCATTGTGTGCTGTGTGGCAGGCAGGATGCAGGACTCAAACGTGGGAATTTTAACTGAAAGTGGCAGTTTTATTGGTGAAAAACAGTACAAAACAAAACTAGAAACCAAAAACTCAAACTAAAGCATGAGAAAATAAACCAGGAACTGGGAACTATAATTACTTGGAACACAGAGGGACGAAACACAGCAGACCAAGGGTACGGCATGACAACTGACAGAGAGAAACACAGATTTAAATACAGAGGCAGGACAACAAGAGGATGGGGAACAGGTGGCAACGCAGCTGGGACACATCAGACCTAACAAGACAAAGAGAAACTAAACCAGACACACACCACACAGGACAGGGACTATCAAAATAAAACAGGAAATACACGACATGCACAGAGGCATGACCTTGACACTGAACAGAGGGAATAAGGAGCACAGGGACAGGAGTAGCAAACTGCGACATGAGACACGACTGGAGAACAAGAAAATAAACATGAAGACAGAACTAAACCTACGCTAAATGTGAGGGGCCCAGGAACAAAACCCAAGAACTAGAAATCACAAAGCAAAGAAGAACTAGAGCTAGAAATACCGAATCAAGAACTGGACTGAAAATCAGTATGCGTAGAGGAGGTTTGGAGAGAGGTTCAACAGTGTCAGCAGCTATCTGCAAAACATGGTGGAGGCTGTGTCATGGCTTCCAGCTGCTTTTCAGTCAGTGGTGTGTGGCATCTTCTTAAAATTGATGGAATTATCAACACAGAAAATACCATCAGACTTTGATCCATGCACTCAGACTCTGATTGGCAATAGCTTCAAACAAAATGCCAATGCAGTAAGTAAGCATACCTAGACAGAAAATCACAATATGTAACGTTATCGGTTGTGGATCGGCCTCCCCAGAGCCCGGACTTCAACATGATTGAAGTGGGGGATCATATTGACAGAGATCAACATCCAAAGAAGACAGTTAAATGTCCTTCAAGAAGCCTGGAAAACTATTCCTGAAGACTACTTAGAGAAATTACAAGAAAGCTTGTCGAAGAGAGTTCAGGCTGTGTTGAAGAATAAAGGTGGTCACACCAAATATCGACTTTTAAGCTCGTTAGAATCCAACAAACTCTGTTTCTGCCTTATGTACCATATTTCCATGTGTGCTCACATAGTACACAGTAACTCACTGCACTGAAGTCCTATTTTCCAAGCAAAAAACCCCAGAATAAGTGATGACTCAAAACCTTTGCACAGTACCGTAATATTTGGTGTTATTGCCAATATGATTGCAGTAGCAGAAACACACAATCCAATGAAGCTTTTATTTGTGGGTTTTTTTTAAAAAAAAACAGGCTGTGTAATAATTTTAGTTACTCTTCATGTTTCTAAAGTTTTGACAGTCTTCAGATGTCGTGGACGACATTATAGCACATCCACAAATGGAAACTTATAAATAAATTTTACACAATAAAATTACAGATTCTTCCTTATCTGGGTGATACATAGCCCACCACTAACCAGATCACCAAACCTCTCTTGCTCATTCATTTCTTTTCTAGCACACACACTCGCTCAGACACACCTCCATAGCAGTAATCCCACCAGGTTGTTGGGTTTCTATGGGGGTCAGCGTTTGCCAGACACTGCTTTTATTTGGACCTGATTACTTTTGGGCACAGTCATCGTATGGTTTCTGTCGACTGGGATAACGCTCATTGGGGGCGGATTGGCATTCGCCTCACTGGCTCCATTCACTAGGCCCGGCACAATCATGTGGATCTGGCAGACCTAACACCTAACCCAAAGAGTCGGGCCAGCCCAGTCAGCAAATACAATGCCCTCACTTCCCCGGTAATCAGAGAGGAGGGGGAGTAAAACGATAGCCAGCAAAGACACACAAAAAAAGAGACTGATGTGAGTGAGTAAGTTAAACATTTAGGAGGGGAGAGAGGCGTGAGCAACATCTGTAAAGTGGGGTTAAAAAAAAAGAGAGGGAAAGAGTTTGTGAGAGCGAAAGCAGCACAGCTTTCCATCAGCTGACTAGCCAGTTTTAGACTTTTTGACCCCAGTGACCTCAGCGGCAGACCACTTTGCAGAAATCACCCAGTTAAGATGTTTGTGAGCTCTTAATGTGGTAGGAGGTGGGAATGTACATGGTCAAAAAAGTTCTGTGAGGAATCATTTTATTTTGAAAAGCCCAGAAAATGCACCTGAATTAAAGCAGACAACATAAAAACTGCAATAAGCCTAACTGTAATAGACATCATACAGTCACTGTTGATAAAAGTGTACAAATACAGAGTAGGTAATGCTGTTGTTTGTATTTGGTATTGTTGAACGTGCATAAACAGACCTCTGCTGCTCTCTTGTGGTGCAGTCTTAGAGTAATGTTGCACGTGCTATACATATACTGTAGACATCAAGTATAACATTATGACTATGTGTCTAATATTGTATTGGTCCCCCTTTTGCTGCCAAAACAGCCCGACTCATCAAGGCGTAGACTCCACTCGAGCCCTGAAGGTGCGCTGTGGTGTTTCGCACCAGGTTGTTAACATTTCATGAAGTCCTTTAAGTTGCAAGGTGGCCTTGTGTGTCTGGCATATCCTACAGATGCTCACTTGGATTAATATCTGGGGGCTTTGGAGGCAATGTGAACACTTCAAACTTGTTGCTGTGTTCCTCAAACTATTCCTGAACCACTTTTGCTTTGTGGCAGGGAAGATTATCCTGCTGAAAGAGGCCACAGCCATCAGGGAATACAGTTTCCATGAAGGATGTAACAGAGTATTGTAACAAACACTGTGAAGGTTGCAGACCCATGCTCTAGACGGATGCTGTGGATTTCCTGCCCTTCTCCAAAGGAGCTAAGATGTGAGGAAGAGATGCCAGTAGTGGAAGCAAGTAGACACAGCACACTAACACAAATCACACTACAACTGGAAACTAGCGGTAAACATTTAAAACTTGTGCTGTGAACTTGTGGAAAATTAACAGCTCAATAAAGGGCATAATTTTAAAAATCAAAAGCAGTAAATGTTTGCTATGGCTGCCAAAGGTGGAAGAAATGTACTTTTCAAAGTATGACAAGTATCCACAGGAACCTGAATAAAATAACAACAAACAAAAAAACCCCAGAATGATCCTTTAAATGGCTCATACCATTAATGACAGCAGGGGGATAGAGTTTCTTGCCATTGTGATTACATGGTGTTTATTTATGATAAATGAAGCACCGATAGAGTAGATAGTATTGTTTTAAAGACACACAAGTCTTTAATTTGAGCTTCATAAATATTATAAAACGACACAGACTCAGGGCGCGGCGTATAGCAGTGAGTGGTCCCGGAAGTCCCCGTATTTACAAACACATTTAGCCGGCGCTTCCTTGCACCAGCCGGGAGCTAATGAACGGGGCACCGGGAGGATTACCTGAGGGCTAAACGCGTTTTTAACGGTTTTCCTGCCAAATTCAGGCAAGCCTGTGAGGACGCTGAGGTATATTTGCGGCTATGACGGACGAAAAAAGCAGCAGCGGTCCTGAAAGTGACGCACAGCAGCCTCGGAGCACCGCTACAGCGGAATACTGCGCAAACTTGCAGCAGTGGATGTGGCAGTATTACTGGGGGTACGCCAGCTGGCAGAACTGGGTGGCTCTGTCAGCTTTCCCCTTCCCTCCGCCGGGGATAAGCGCTCAGACGCCGCCGGGTACACCCGTCAGTGGGCAGCAAGCATTTGACACAAGGAGCTGGTACAGCTACTATCCTGTCACGTCCCCCGCAGCTTCCTTTCCTCACCTGGCTGCCGGGACCGAGCTGGGCTCAGCCACCAACCCGCTCCCGGGTGCCGATGCTCGTCCTGGCCAGCAGCAGAACGGGAACCCGCCTCAGGCAGGTAGGGCTCAGGTTTGGCAGCGCGAGTCGGTTACTAAGTGCTAATTACAACACATGCCGCCCAGTCTACATGAATACTTTTACATTACTTCAGTATTAAACATATTTAAACAACTCACAAATGTAAGTTTCTCTTTAAACGTTTTTAAATTACCCTCATAAAAACTGCACAAGAGGTGCACATACTAAATATATATTACTGTTTATGAATTGAAAGCATTATGATTAGTAAAAGTTTAATAAGAATTTATGGAAGTAATCAAAATGTAATCTTTAAAGCAGGATAATCATCCGGGCTGATTATTGTTGCTTATTTGTTGTAATCTGATTAATAACAATTGAATGTAAGACCCAGCTCTGTGTTAAAGCTAGGTCATGAGTCTGACCAGGCTTAAGTAAATGACCTAGAGGAAACGAGCTTATATGCTTAAGAGTCTTTCAAGGTTTTTCCTCGTCCTCTGTTTTCTCTTGTGACTGTCAGCAGTGTCTGTTCACTGATTATATGTGAATGATTATGAGTTTATGAAGCTTTGACTGGCACCACGGTAATGAAAACGGCTGTTCTGTTGTCTTTTCATCTGCCATGCAGGACAAGAGTACACCATCCCCTCTCCTCTCCAGAGGTTCCTCGCAGAGACTGTGGACTTCTTCATCCTGTTTTGTGTGAAAGCCACCATCGTGTTATGGATCATGTATCTGAGTGGTATGAAGTGAGTAAAAAACACCAGGATAAACGGGCAAAGACTCAACTTTAAATGAGGCCTCTCAATCTGCTTGAATTCCAAGTTATGCCGCTTTGCACAGACAAACTGTCTCTCTTCTTTAAAGGGACATTGCCAAATTTATCACCCACTTCATTGTGGAGGAGATAGATGAGAACACGTCCCTGGAGGACCTGCAGAAGATGATGGCTGTTGCTCTGGTCTACAGGGTACTGGTGTGTGTCTACGAGGTGAGTCGCATTTCTCATCGCCTTGATAAATGCTCGGTTAAGTGATGTGCAGAAGTATATTAATATTGAAAATTTGCATGCTAGCGTGTGTTTATCTTCACCCAAACTAAGCTTTCTGTTTTATAACATTTAATAACATTTTAGAGTGTACAAGGTTTTCCTTGTGCAACTGCGAATTAAAGCAGAACACCTGTTAGAGTATAAATAACATTTCGCACTGTTCTCATTTACACCCAATAGCAGCAGCACGTTCTCTCGTTTAATGAGAACAGGCAGCGTCAGAGTTCTTTGCGGCGCCCACAGAGAACAGTGATGCAACGTTGCATTCATAGTTGCCTGCGATTAAGTCACTTATCCCGTCTCTTGTTAGAATTACGATATTGTCTTGTTTTCCCAGGTGGGAGCCAGCTCTGGGATATTCATGCACCTCTGCTCAGACTCACACCATATGGCATGTTTCCTTCTCTGCCTCTGAGCTTGTTTGTGCTATACTGAAAACAAATTTCTTGTCCTGTTACTGTTTTGGGCCGGGATTAGTTATACCAGCGGTCCCCAACCCCCGGGCCTCGGGGGTCGTTTGGTACCGGGCCGCGAGAGTTGAGGCTCAGGTGTGAGATGTCTGGTTTTCAGGGTTTTTATCGGTTTTCAGTGTTATTTTGTTATCCTTTTTATCGTTAACTCTGTTTTCTTTGGTCTTTTCACGTGTGTTATGAATACATTTTCTTTTTTTCGGTACCGGTACTACTTTTATTTTGTTGTATTTATCCACGACACCTTAAAGGCCGGTCCATGAAAATATTGTCGGGCATAAACTGGTTCGTGGCGCAAAAAAGGTTGAGGACCGCTGAGCTATGCAACAAATAAAAGCTTGAGTAATTTATTTTCATGGCCATGAGTATTGCACTGCGAAAATATCGGGCAATAAAAACTTGAGCCTAGCATTAGTTCAGGTTCAGAGAGGTTTGTGTTAAAGTTAGCATATTATATTAAAATAGACACATTTTCTGAAAAGTGCAAGCTTATCTAAATATTCCCCTTCAACTGGTCTCTGACTGTGGTTGTTGTGCATGGGGCTGATAAAAAGCTGGAATTATACTCTTGATTAATTCACTAATTGTTACTATATACTGTTATTTTTGTTTGTGCATCTGCTGGCTGCTTTGCAACCCATCTGACACCAACTGTGACTTAATCAATATTATCTATCACCACTGATGCCTGCTCTGTTCTGTGGGCCTTGCTGCTGTTCTTCCAGCCTCCACCTTTTCATGTATGCACACTGAGGGCGAGGGTAGTTCCCAGAACAGCGCAGCTAAATATACGTTGCAAGAGATGGAAATGAAAGTCTTTCGTAATTCTCCTACCGAACGACGTTCGGTGACAAGCGGTGTGATGTTTGTTGTTCTCGTCCAATCAGATCATCTGTATTTGGGGCGCTGGTGGAGCTACGCCAGGAAAGTTCCTGCTCGGCTTGCGGGTGGTGACGTGCGATACGTCCACCCTTATACGACCCAACTGTGTTCTTGTGGTCCCAGCATCCAACGTGTCCTTCTCAGCGTGAGTCTTCACACTTTTTATGTTGGTTTTTTCCCTGTTGAGTTATTTTTATATTTATTAAAAAGTAAAAAAAAAAAAAAGTATATTATTTGTTGTTTCCAGTTCTTTTAGAGCATCTGTGTGGGATTCAGTAAGTCCCTGTTTGAGCTCATATTTTGCCTCGTCTCTCTCGATTTTCACAGCTCTACTGTGCGGGCGTTGAACAAGAACTTCTCCATTGCCTTCCTCTTCCCTGTCTTTATCACCCTCCTCTTCTTCCAGCACAACAGGACTGTGTACGACATTGTGGCGGGGACCATAGTTGTTCAGCGCAGAGGAGGCAGATAGCAGTATTAGACTTCTGTTTAAAGAGTATCTAGAAAATTTTATCGAACTCAGATTTACTAACACAGAGGAGAGTGACTTTGCTGGGAAAAACTCGGAACGCTCTATAAAATGAAACGTATACAGACGTAGACCTGGTACAGTGGGATGAGAAACATCTGCTGTAAGGGATTTAAAGGTGCAATATGTAAGATGTTTAATTAAAAACATTTAAAAATTAAGTGGAATCGTCAGCACAATGTGATGAAATCCTTCAAAGTTTCTGAAGTTATGTCAGATTCTACATGTTATGTTGTAGAGATCAAATTATAAATGCAGTGGCGGACGGGGTTGGACAAAAGCGCTGGACGGTTTCGGCTTCAGCCTACAACTGACCTTACAGTGTGTCCTGTGCACGTTAATGGCAGTAGGTGACACAGACAGCTGGAGGCTTGGATCCTACAACATGATGTTAGCTAGCTTTATAATATATCAATGCTGCAACAGCATCTGTGATAGCAAACACAAACAGTTGTTGATCTGCTGTTAAAATAAATAACAATAAAAAGTCCAGTGCAAACAAAAATCTATATAAGTTAAATCTTCACATATCAGCATTTTGGTGATTGCATGATTATCAGTCGTGCAATCCAGCACAGTTAGACACTGCATTAGTCTTTTTCCCTGGCTCAGTTGGTCTTTACCTGCCAACAGGCTCATCAGTACTGCACGAACACTACTGCTGTTACTGTGTCCCAAAGCTAGAAGGTCTAAAGCTGAGATTGGTGGAGAGGGAAAGCCAGGGAGAAGTCCTGATTGGACACTGGCTGTCTGTGTATTTTAGGCAGCCCGGCCGACCTATTATATGGATTTCTAAAGCCGATAGCTCGTGTGTGTCTCCATGTGAAACAGAGCACAGGAAAGCAGCAAAGTAAGTGGAAACAAGTAGACGTGAGTTAGCTAAACAACATCAGTGTTGTTTTTTTTCAGTGTCATATGTTTATGAAAAAAGAATAAGAGCAATATTATGAAGTGAGGTGCTCTAACACGCACTTTCATAAAAGAGCGACACATTCAGGAAACTTTAAAGGAGCAGTTAAAAAAACACATTTTGTTGGTGTGCTTTGCTTTTTATTTAAGAGCAATTTTGTTCCGTTTTACCTTTTAAAATTAAATGACAGAACATAACTGCTTTTGTCAGCCTCTGCAGAAAAATTTTATATTCAAATTAACAAACTTTGCAAGTAAAAAGGTTTGAGTCATCCGTCACTCTTTTTCTGTGCACAACTGGTATATGCAAAGCAAGATGGCATGCGAGGCTCCTGAATGGCCTACTGTCCCCAAAATAAAACTGGAGGAAAAGTCCATCTGCAGTCCTGAGTCAGGCTGAGAAACAGAACACTCTTTACAAATTGCACCTTTAATTCTCACCACTGTATCGTTCTAAATAAGCTCAGAGGACAAAACTGAAGTATTGTGAGGTTTTTGCTCATTGCAGCGTGTGTAAAGTTGGAAAGCTTGTTGTCGTGGAATAATCCCGCAGCTCATGTGAATTTTAATAAGTGCGCTACTGTATGACACAATCTACTGTTTCCTTTTTTCTTTTTTCTTTTTTGGTGACCCTGGAAGGATTTGATAACTTTTACCTTTTGTGATTATGTAGTTGCAGTATGCAAGATTTTTGTACCACTAAAGTGCATGTCCACTATTGTGTGATTGTTTCATTTTTCTACAAACTGAAGCTAACTGTTCTTTAATACTTTGTAAGAAAAAGTTATAAATAATTTAACGTATTGGCAACTTGCAAACACATGGGCAGCATTGTTATTAGAGTACGACACTTTGCAGCCTCTTTCTTTCTTTAAGCCAACAATGATCAGTCAAATGTCTAACATGCTGATAGTTTCTTTGTGATTTATTAATGCTGAAAAAGAACATTTAAGAGTTGTTTTTATGTGCCCACGGACCATTTAATGAAGTGTTTTTTTCTGATGTGGTGACATAAAGTTGTCCAATTTCTTGGGGGGGGGGGGAGGTACGGAGTGCAAATAGATTTCTAAATTCTCTGCTCATGTTTTCTCTCGTCAGTCTTGTAGCTTTTGTGACTCAGGGCAGCTTTTATTTTGAAAGGACCTGCGTTCGTATGACCGCTGTTACTCTTCAATTGTAAAGACTCGTTTTGTTAGATTACCCGTTGGACTGTTTTCTAACACAGACATCTAATCAGCCAATCACAGGGCAGCAATTCAGACAAGTAGACATAGTTAAGACGACCTGCTAGAAGTTCAAATCGATCTTGAGAACAGAGCATAAATAATGTAATCTAAGTGATTTTAAGGGTGGTATTTCAGAAACTGCTGATCACCTGGGATTTCCCCTCGCAACCAGAAACTTAACAGAAGTTTCTGTTTTTTATAATAAAAATACATTAAAGCATCTATTCTTTAAAAATATGAATAAAACATTTAGTAGCCATAATGAAAGTTTACATTTGTTATTAACACAGGAGATTACGCTCTCCACAGTAAAAATGACTTCTCAGCCTTCAGAGGAAAAACAAGTTCAAACACTGATGAAACTGGTTACAATTCATCAAATGGAAAAAGACATTTCAGATTTTACACAGTTATTACGTCATATTTAATGTTATTTAGGCTGTGGAAAGAGGAAGGGTTGAAGATGTACTGCGGTAATAAAATAACAGCAGAAAAGTTTGCTTTTTACTACAGAGTCTGATACATTTGTTCCAGTCATAAAAGCAACTAACAAAAGGGCCCTTAAGAGACCAAAGGGTAAAAGAAAGAAAAGACAGCAACACTGACAGATAATCTTCAGAATACATTTATGAATCAGTTTCACTTGGGTGTGCACGTCATGACAATGTTTGCACTTTACCACAAAAGGCACTTTGAATTAAAGTAAAGTATAGTTCCAGTCGGAACAACAGCAACAGTCCTTCCAACAAAGCACTCAGTCAGGTTGTTTCCCATCACATGTCTGCACACTATTAGTTCCTGTTTTCATAGAGCTGTTAATACTGACGTCGTTACTTTGAGAACTGACATCCTTTAACTGCTGCACACTTGGGACCAGGCCACATGAGGGCAGCAGAGAATGACACAGGCTGAGGCGCAGATGCTAGAAATACGAACCATCTTGCTTATTGTGCCTAACATCCTGTTGTATCATCTTTGTAAACGAAGCAGCGCTTCTATTGTGCTTTTCTACTCTGAGCACTCAGATTGCTTTCTACTGTGAGGCCCATTCACCCATTCATACAAGCACTTTATCCTCTGACATTCATACACATACAGTGAACAAACCATCAATATTCCCATCAGTAGATGACCCGCTCTACCTCCTGAGCCACAGCCACTCCCTCAATTCCTGTCCTGTAGGCCACAGGTGTGTGTCAGACATGAACCCTGAACAGGTAGCAGTCTTACATTCATGACAGACAAGAGAAATCAAAAGGCTTTTGCATAGGACAGTGAAACATTTCCCTTTGATTTTAAAAAATAAAGTTAATTATATAAAGACAGGCTGAATTATGTCGCGTGGGGATACTTTGTTTGCGTATATGGTTTTATGTATTCAGTACAGGGGACGTTATGGTCTACGTTTAGAAAAAAAGAAGTGAAGAAGTGTAACTTTGCAGCCCCATTAAACAAGTGGGAAGAGGACAGTGATTCTTTAAGCCTTTAAACCTGCAGTAGGTGATGCCCATGGACACTTGGGGGCAGCAGAAACCAGCTGTGAACACAATCGACCACCTTTTAAGTAGATGAACTTGTAAGAAAACATTTGCTGATTTACACCTCCAGTGCCATTAGCATTAATTCTGTGTCGTGTTTAATTTGGGGGATGACTGTCTGTCTGTCTCTGTTGGCTCTGTATTTAACTTTTCCAGGGTGCACTGTACCTCATGACCTGTCACAGCTGGGATAGGCCCCAGATAAGTAATTAAGAAAATGGATTGGTTAGTATATTCCACTACAGGTGGTGTTACTGTGCATAGCACTGCTCTTTTGTAATACTACAGTGACTTGGAATTAAGACTCATTAACCATAATGGTACAGCACTGGTTCCAGTTGAATCAGTCATAACTGAACAAAACGTTTGGATTCTACTTACTGTGCAAAACTCTTGATCCACCTGTCATTTCTTTATTTTGTTTCCAAAGAGCCAGACAAGTGGTCTCAAGTAGCTTTCTGAAGGTCTTCAGTTATTTATCTGTTGTTTACTCATTTTTAGTGCAGTCTTTGTGCCTGACCAAAGACTGGGCCACTTATTACTGACCTAACAAATAACTTTGCAAGGAACCAATTTAACAGATTTTTAGCAAAACATCATTTGCTCCCATTTCTTTAGTTGAATCTACCAAAGATTCTGAATTTAACACAGTTTGACAGACATAAAACAGTATTTTTGCAACAACAAGGTAATTCCCAAAGAGCTACTATCTAAAGTCTTATATCTTACATTACAAAATATGAGGAAACTGGACAAAGAAGTGTGTGTAAAAAGCTATCTACAGCAGATGAATGAAATCTGAAAGTCATATCCTTAAGAAATAGGAAGGAATCCAACAAAGACACAGGACCTGAGAGATGCATCTGGCTCTGATCCATCTACTGTTCACTGAAGCCTCATCAGATATGTGTCAGTGGAAGGGAGGCTGACTGGAAGCCATTCTTAAGGAAGCGACGCAGAGAGAAAAGGCTGAGGTATGCCAAATACCAAATAAGTACCAATACTTGTGGAACGATGAATCCAAGCTTGAAACCTTTGGTTCAAATCATCGGACAGAGAGATACAACAGCAAGAATCTAAAGCCATCTGTAAAACACAGTGGAGACTCTGTCGTGGTTTGAGACTGCTTTTCCATCACTGATATCGGGAATCTTGTCAAAATGAACATAGATAAGTACCATCAGATTTTGATCCACAGGTAACAGATTCCTTTTTCAGCATGACAATGATCCCAAACACACTTTCAATACATTAAAAGCATACCTGGACAGAAAAACACACAGTGGATTGGCCTCCCCAGAGCCTCAACATTACTGAAGCAGTGTGGGATCATCTTGACAGAGAAATGAACAAAAGGCAGCCAACATCCAGAGAAGAACATTGCATGTTCTTCGAGGAGCCTGGTGAAACATTCCTGAAGACTACTTAAAGAAATTAAAGGAAAACTTGGATAAAAGAGTTCAGGCTTTGTTGAAGAATAAAGATGGTCATACCAAATATTGACTTTCAAGCTTGGTTTTTGACTTATGTGCTCTATTTCCATTTATGGTGCCATTTATGGCACATATTTCAATAAATCCCCGAACCTGTTTCCCATTTTCCAAGCAAATATAAAGAAACGAGGGGTTTTTGCACAGTATTGTGTGAAGAAATCTACAGCAGGTATAGCTCCCACTGGCACCTCTCACACATAAAGACTCAAGATACCTGCCTGTCCTTTAGAAAACATGATCAAGTTGTTATTCAGAAACAGCTTATTTAGTTATCATAGGCTCATAAATAACTTCAGCTACAGCTACTTTTTTCCTAGTGCCAAATTGTTGAATTTTTATGAGCCGTTTTCAAGCAGAGATTAGCTGGAGGCATATTTTGTCTCATGGTCCCATTGGGAAGACACAACGCTCGTTCGGCTCTCCTCAGAATGGTAGTTTTTAAATAGCAACCAT